ATCCATATACTACTCACTCATCTGTCCATCTACCCATCCATCCATCCATCCATCCATCCATCCATCCACCCATCCATCCATCCATCCATCCATCCATCCATCCATCCATCCATCCATCCATCCATCCACCCATTCTCCCATCCATCCATCCATCCATCCATCCATCCATCCATCCATCCATCCATCCATCCATCCATCCATCCATCTATTGAGACAAGATTTTACTATGTAGTTCTGGCTATCCTGGAGCTTACTGTTTAGACCAGGCTAGCCTCAAACTCACAGAGATCCTTCTGCTTCTTGAAAGATGGGGTTAGAGGCTTGTATCACCATGCCCAGTTAATTCTATATTGGAATTGAAAATCCCCTGCTCCCTCCTCACGGTTGGCACTTGCCAGGAAAACATTATCAGTAACACACTGCCTTCTCAGTTCCAGCAATGACATGGATTGTTTAACCTCAGTGTTAAGAATAACTGATGTGACAGACAAGGATTTGTCCCTGAAATATGACTGTATGGCCCTGAACCATCATGGCATCATAAGGCACACTGTGAGACTGAGAAGAAAACAGACAAGTAAGGAATGTTGCTCACACTTAGCTGGACTAAATTGCCTGAATCAAGTGTAAACTGCAGTTCTCAGAGGACTGTGTGTTGCAGTTTGGTCCTGGGGAATCCATCACGATCACAGGACTAGTTGGCTAGTGTCATGAGATGTGCTTCTCCTGTTGAAGATGCTCTTTAATCTGGTCTTTCCATGATGTTTCTGTCTCCCAGAAGGACTCTGGGCCACTGTATTCCCCCTCCTCCGTTTTCTCCCCATAGTCCTCTTCCTCTCCTCCCCTTTCCTTGCATGTTCTCCCTCCCTCTTTCCTCCCCTTCTCTCTAGGCTCCTTTTCACCTATCAGTGGCTTCCTCAGTCATCCTTTGCACAGTCTGCAAGGGACACCAGTGCTTCTATTGGGTTCAAAGGAATAAATCTGTTGTGTCTCTTTGTGTAATCTTGTCACAGAAAATAACTTACAAACTTTTCATCCAGAGCACTTATCAATTTCTTTGCTTGGTCTTGAGTTTACACCTACAGTCATCCTGATGGGTAGATGACCAGTTTGATTCCTTAAGAGTGGAGAGAAAACATTTTTACCCTTATCACTCTCTTTTATGATACTTACCACTCCCTTAATGGTAATACAACTAAGGTAAAAAAATATCAAGAGGGTAGGGGAGGGAGAGAGATATTTGCTCTAAGCTCATAGCAATATGTGGAGCATTCGTTTGGATGAATATATTGATTAAAAGGATAGGGTGGGGGTACCAATTTGATATAGTCATGTTGTGTCTCTGCCTGATGGAGTACTTGGGATTTTTGTTGGTTTCCTATGGAGACCAATCTGGCCTTGGACTCATAGAGTTCTACCTGCCTTTGCCTCCCAAGTGCTGGGATTAAAATATGTGTCACTGTACTCAATCAGAATTTTTCTTGTTTTGGTTTTGATTTTAGCCTCTGACTTGTAAATTAAAAAAAAGAAAAGAGTTGTGATTCATAGGTGACCAGAGTTGTGATGACCAGACTCATAGGTAACTCTTAGTGCTATCTTGTTCAGCAAGACGTTACGCATCTGCCTCCATAATGGTGCTGCTCAGGATGACCATGGACCATAGCACTGTGTTAGAGGATGGTTGTGGGAACAGTGAATTCCACAGGGAAAGGGAAACCACATCCCTGCCCTCACCCAGCAAGACCTTATGTCCCTTGTGCTCTCCTCTAGATTTCTGAATCTTTTCTAGTTACGTTTCTATTGGAATTATATTTGTGCTATCTGGAGTTTTATATTTGTTTTGTTTATGTGTGATTTTGTACTCTCTAGTTTATTTTTAATTCACCTGTTAACATTCAAATCAACGTGTTTATACTGTTTCGACAAATCAGCATATTAAATAAAAATTGTCTCTACTGTTGTTGAATTATCATATTGATCCTTTGTTTCTAAAATTCTGATATTTCTTAAATTTAAATAACAAAAGCTTAAAAAGCCTCCCTCTGCATATTCCTAAACACTGTTCGGTGCAAATTTAGGGTCTGTGATAACAATAGTACATGCACATATTCAGTGTTTCCTGTGTTCAGGCCGGATCTAATTACTTTCCCTTGAAGTTATCGTTTATCTTCTCAGCACCAGACCTATACAATTTGTTAACTTCACTCACTAAGTGAGGAAGCGAGGGTAGAGTGACCCCAAGGGATTGCCAAGTATCCTAGACCCAAGACTCAACACAGATGACATTTTCCTGTTTATAAACACTGACAAGAAGCATTTGTGTCTAGTCATTGATGAGAAAATTGATGATGATGTTACAAATTCGGAAGCACTTGGACAAATGTTGAACATCAACTTTCAGGGACATCTTGAATTAAAGGCTTGCCTCTTGTTGAATATGTTCAGGTATCCACATAGATACTTTGCCAACAATAGTCCACCCTTTCTTAGCACCTATCCAGCTGGACTTTTAGACAGTTCTTCCAAATGAGCTCCTTGGGAAGTTCTTACTTAAGTCTAGAGAAATAAATACAGCAACCTCTGGCCTGTTTTGAGCTCTCTCCGCATCTTTGGATCACCAGACTTTGGTGTCTTGAGTTCATTGTTCTAGATACACACAGATGGTGAACTAGGAGAGGTGGTAGAGGATTGGCAACTATTAGTAAAGATGTTCATGTCAGATCTTGGAGCCTCTGCGTGGGGACTTGCAAATAAGATTAAAAACAAAAACAAAAACAAAAACAAAACAAAAAAAAAAACACTGACTAGGTCAAACTTGAGATTCTATTCTAATCAGGTGTAAGTAGCACCACACCACTTCTAATAAGTCTGTGAGGATCATAAAGTTAAAACTGCCAAGAGTACCATGAATGGTAACTTGTACACGTGTCTTACAAGTTCCTGAAGTTGGAAGCCATGTTGCTTGTGTGTTTTGTGAAACAAGAAATGTGGGACCAAGCTCAGAGAGAGCCGAAGGAAAGTCTCAACAAGGAAAGTCCCCAGCATGATAGAACCCAGCCATCTGACTTCTCCATTACAGATAGTCAGTGACCTGCAGCCCTGTTTTCTATATCCCCCACCCCCTAGATGCAATAAACCCCGGACCTACTGACTCACGCTCCTTAGCACTGCCAACGAATACTGACCTTGCCAATTCCCTTCTCATTATTTCATGAGTTCAGATATTCATCTTCCCGTCATGTACTCACTCTATTGTATTCGTTCAGTGTGCCATCTCTTCCCATAAGAACAAGCCTTCCACTACTATCAGTTTAATCTTGGTAAAAAGAACTTTCATCTTCAATCCTCCATTCCTTCATATTATGACAAATTTCATAGCAAGAGTTTCTGATCAAACACAGGCCTGACCACATCTTCCACTGATTCCCCAAACTGAATTGCTATAGTTCTCAGAACACACACACTCCCACCTCTGCATATGGCCCCAGCATCCTCTCTGGACTAGAGGGGTTTGCCTTTTCTAGATCTTTCTGAATCCTCTCCATCCTTTAGTGATCTCATTCTTCAGGAAGCCTTCTTTACTTATGCTAGCATAGAGCAAGCTCGCTTCAAAATGTCTCTGTCAGCTGAAATCCCTTTTTATCTCCTATCTTACTTGGGTTCACAAGTGTCTGTATGTCTCCCTTACACCATGCTACCAAGCCTCAAGATTTTCACAGAGTATAGGCTAAAAAAATTGATTTGTTGATTTTGAAAGTATTCATAAAAACTCCATGTTGGTTTATTGGGACTTGTGGTTTCAAGAGATATCAACATTCATGCATCCATCCATTCTATCTTATTTTACTAATACTAATGATAGTTTTTCTCATCTCCCCATCTCTTGATAGCTGATCATCAAAGCACCTACTACATAGTTGCGGGATGTAGTGTATTGCTAATACTTGTCAATGTCTTGGTGATAGTCTTAAAAGTATTCTGGATTGAGATTGCTCTGTTCTGGAGGGACATAGCAACACCTTACAAAACTCAAAATGGTGAGTATCAAGTTCAAGATTCTCTTTGCAAGAGAAAGTCCTGCAGTGACTATTATTTGTCTATTGATGTTATGCTGCTTAACTCAATTTCTGTTTTCTTTGTAACCTCATCAGCAAGATCTTGGCATCTACACAGGTCCTTTTCCATATTTCTCCTGTCAGTCCTTGTACTCTTGATATTCATCTCAAATATTCTTGACATTCATCCTAAATATTCTCCTTGGTAGAATTACTGTTCTTAGTGAGTTCCTGATAACAGACTCTGCCGAGACCCAGATAGGTTTCAATGTTTTGGGAAATATGTATTGAGAAAATTTTATGAAAGGACAACAATAAAATCATCCCTGCTTTTCAGATATGAGCAAGTTATAGATGAGCACAAAGCACATGTTGATTTTCCCATGAATTCCATGCATACACAGCTGCACAAACTTATACATGCAAAAAGAGTTCTGGTGAAACGGAAACATTTGCCTTCATTTGAACGTTAATACATTAGGTATTTGTGATGAAGCAATCAATTAGCTCGTGCTTGTTTGATTTGTGGGAAATCCAGACCCCTTTTGAAATTTTACTTCCTTGTCAATATTAGCTTGAGCATATGAACTTCTTCAGATGAAGTATTGTGGTTTCCATATGTCCTTGATTTTGATTTCTGGGGTTTCAGTTACCCACCCACTACTCAGTGACTGTATTAGTTGACAGGTTTACTATTGAAGTACCACAGTGCTTCAGTTGTTTTCCTTTGAGATAAGGGCCATAAAGTGCTAGACCAGTGATTCTGCCAATTTTGTTGTAGTCCATTGTTCCATTTTGGTTACTAGTTATGGCTGTTAAACTCTTACTGTGCCAAGTTTATAAATTAGTCTTAGGTATGTGTGTGTAGGAGACAATGTGGAATAGAGGGCTTAGTACTATCCATGGCTTCGGGTATCCACTGGAGGCCTTTGAACCTGGGCCATGTGCTTAATGTGGAAAATGCTATGTGGGGAAAATGTAACAGGCACAGAAGGTGCCATCCATGATGATAAATACTAATAGCTTATAAACAATCTTGAAGTATCCTGAACAGACTCTCCATTCTCTATCATTCAAACTAAAATGTTAAAAACCATCCATCCATCCATCCATTCATCCAACCAACCAACCAACCAACCAATCAACCAACCAACCATCCAACCAACCAACCAACCAACCAACCAACCAACCAACCAACCAGACAAAGAAACCTTTGGCCTAGGTCTATTATTTCCTGGTCACATTTTATAACTGTGGATTTTTGGTATCTCTTGATTTTAAGAGTATTTTGGAAAATGAAGCATATTCAGTAACAGCCATACAACTTGGTGAGAACTGTCTCTCAACAGCCAGATGAGAGCTTTTAGAACCACTAATGAAATGGTACTTCTTGGTTTCATTCTCAGATGGCAAGATCTATGATGCTTACGTCATTTACCCACGGGCCTTCAGGGGCGGCTCAGCAGGAACCAGCTCTGTGGAATATTTTGTTCATCACACTCTGCCCGATGTTCTTGAAAATAAATGTGGCTACAAGTTATGCATTTATGGGAGAGACCTGCTGCCCGGACAAGGTAAAGCTGCCACCACAGGTCAAGGATTGAAACTCACTGAAAATAAAATTCTGTAAAGGAGACCAAGAGAGGGTAATGTTAGGTAGTGAGGAAGGATGGGGGTGGGGGAAAGGGCACATGGAATGGAAAAGAGGAGAAGAACCTGGGACAGATATAAGGGGTGTGAGGACACAAAGGGGTGGGAGAGATGAGGAAAAGAGAGAGAGCCACAGAAACACACTTCGTTAAAAAATGTTGTTATGGCATCTGACATATTACACAACAGTTTAAAAATTTTAAGTATAAAAAACTTTATATGATGTATGTAGTGAGAGTTATATGTTTGCATTAGCATTTTAATTTATCAGGTGAACTATATGCACCATTTCCTACGCTGCATTTTTATACTTAGCATTCTGTTTTGAAGATCATTTCATAGTAACAAGCAGAGGTAATTCTCATTTTCATAATGTGTGAGTTGTAATAGGGAATTTAGCTTAGACTATTTACTTTGTAATAAACAAATACATGAACAAAAAGAATTCACACAAAGAGACTTGTCCTTCTTGGTGATTGGTGAAGGACTTTCATTGATTGATGAATTATTTTAAGACAGGGTCTTTCCTGGTTCCCCTGGCTGGCCTAGAACTCACCATGTAGCACAGGCTGGCTTCAAATACATGACATGTGTTATGACTTATGAACTACCATACTTGGCTAAGACCAGAGATATTTATTAATTACATTAATTTTGTGTGTGCCACACATGTGTATGACAGCCAGAGGTCAACTTGCAAAGGGCCAGTTCTCCCTCCTACCATGTGGGTCTTGGGGATCAAACTCGGGTCCTGAAACTTGATGTCAAGCACTTTTACTTACTGAGCTACCTTGCTGGGCCAAGACCAGAGCTTTTAGACTGTTTTTTGGGAGATGCTCATCATTTACTCTTCTCATCCCAGCCCTCTCCTGACAGTGAGATGTTCACAGCAGTGTGGATGGAACATGGTGGGATCAGTCAGGGCCCTCACCGGTACACTAGCTGTCATTGCCCCAGCTTCGTTCCTTTGCATTCCACTAGAATAACACTGAAACTTTCACAATTGAAACATTACATCATCCTCCCTTTCCGCCTGCCTTCCAATCCTTCCCCCTTGCTCTTTCTTGAAATCATGGCCTTTTTTTCTTTGTTATTGCTGCACACACACCCATAAATACTTATACACACACACACACACACACACACACACACACACACACACACACACACACACA